GAAATCAAGGCAAGACATATATCCAGCAGATGTTTTGTGGCGGATTCGGAAATGGAATAAAAAGAAGCCACTTTTGGGGACAACTTGTTAAAAGAGAACATTCTTTTGATGGCATTGGGGTTTTGGTCACAGCAATTGATTTTTTTTATTTTTTGGCAAGGTTTTTGGTTAGCTCAAAAATATGTGGTATTCGAAAATATATTTACAGTGATGTTTAGGGTAGGAAATTAGGCAAAATTACTATATCTTAGGGATAAATAAATTATTCAATAATGTATAATTCATTTTAAAGATGAAATTTTTAACTTCTTTAACTTAATATGTATAATCACTTCTAGTTTTTTCTTATTCAATCACTAAAACTCCTTCCTTTTTACTTTCATTCAACCTTTATTAACCCTTGTATTTACCATAAACCTTAAACCAATCCTTACTGTATCTTTTGACCAGATTTTGGACAAGTTGTCACTCAATGATTCCCCACAAAATCATCACACATAAGCTCCAAAACGATTCCACATTCCATTGCGGTTTCAATTTCATTGCTCAACTCACAAAATTTAGCTTCGAAGCGATTTTGGTTTGGAATTGAATCAGAACGAACGATCGAACGGATCGGATCGGAAACCAGTAGCCAATTTTGGCATAGAGTCAATTGCAATTAATCAATACCAAATGTGGGCATAAGCTACAAAATAATTTAACCTTTAAAATGGCAATTAAATCGTTGTCCGATCGATCGATCGATCGATCGAACGCTCGACTTGGAATCGAATGCGACTGCTGTTGGACAATTAATCGAAGTTGAAGGCCCTCGACCCGCAGACAATTAAATAACAAATTCGTAGAGTAAAACCAAGCAGCAACAAATTAATCGAGATGAAGTCGAGTTGAACCCATTTTTGTTTCTAATTAAGCAATTTCGTTTGGGGGCAAGTAGCGGCGCGTTTGCCTGGCGATTTTAATCGCGAGCGCGTTAATTGCCGCCTCAAGTTGTAGGTTTTTTTCCCCATTTTTTCTCTTCTTGGAAAATGTGGGTTTTGGCTCAGAGTGGCCACCGATACGTAATTGACCATGATCCGTAATGAGTCACAGAGATTACAAATTCCAGAGAGTCTCACACACACTCACTTCATTCATTCACTCGATCAAAGGGGCTCAATGTCAATGCACTCCAAAGGCACAGAATAAATGTATAAATATACACTTGGGATAATTTAAATCAATTGGAATTAGATCCTAAATAGGTGTTTATAGTTTAAAATTTGTATTAGACAATATTAGTAAATTAATGGACTTAAAAAGTTTTTATTCAAGGAATAAGCTTCGATAAAAGAGCTGAGAAATGGAAAGGTTTATCGATAAAACTTGATTAAATTTTAAATTTACCTTAAATAGTGTAAAATAAATATTTAAAACTGCAGATACTCAATTAAATGTTTAATTAAAATTGCATATTTGAATGATTATTATAAAATGCGAACTCTTATAAAAGATCTAATAAAAATAGCTTCGATAACCGATTAAAAATCAATTAGCTATTATGTTAACTTTAATAGTATAAGATCAATAAATCATAAATTATATTCTTCACATAATTTTAAATCGATTTATTGCATAGAAAGGAAAGAAAAGGATTATTATTATTATAATCATATTAATTAGAGTTTATCAATCAGAAATTATGGCGATTATTTCGATAATTGCTATATTTCTTATATAACGGATAGATATATATTGGAACCTTAAAAGAGCCTTTTCTAGAACTTAAATCTCAATTTATATCTTCAAAATAAAGCCAACTCTAAGTTTCTAATTCACTTAGACCTATCCCACTTTCATTTCTGTATCAAAATATCAAATCCATACCCCCATTTCTCTCCGTGCACCTCAAAGAGCAAGAAATACGTTTTAATCAACTTATCAAAAAGTGTCAGTCAAGTCGGCAATCAACATTTGCAATGTGTGTGGTCTCCACATCAACCTCTACCCCGTCTCTCTTCCAAGAGCAGGAACCCCTTTCGATTCTCGGGGCAGCACAAGACAGTCCGCTAGCTGACTGACACCAAACTTAAGTGGCGCACAGCCACAGCAGACACACACACGCGCACTCGAAGATACAAAGATACAAAGATACTCAGATACTCGTTCTCACTGTGAGCCAGTTTTGAATGCTGCAATCTATGAGCTCGTGGTGGACACACTCGTCAGCTGGCAACTGGCAAAAGCTTCAAGCCATCAATCTTATTGACACTGTTTTCCTCTATATTTTTTTGTTCACATCTCTTTATTTTTTCTTACTTATTTTTTGTTATGGATGTTGTTTTTTTTATTTTTAAGAAAAACTGTGAAAAAATAAAGCAAAATCGGTGGCGAACCCCCGAAGCAATTGAGGCAGTTTAAACGATCTCGATCTTGGGCAATTGAGTTTCCACGCACACTTGGAGTTTTATGTATCTGTATCTTTGGAGTTTTGAGTTAGAATTGAGTCAAGTGATATAATTTGTGACTAATGGAAATGTATCTCTAGTAATTGAGATAAGATTTATTAGGGAAAACTAAGAATATTATTATTTATTATATTACAGAGAAAGTCTTGTCTTAAACTCTTCCTCATTTACCTGATTTATCATTTCCAGTTAACCTAAAAAATATATATCTAGTCTCTGGTATGTTAGTTTCCCCCCTAAAGTTTTTAACTAAATGTCTCTCATAAATCTCACTGGGGAAAATGCTATTTAATTACCGGAGATGAACTCGCATTGGGTAGATATGTAATGATGACAAAAACTGATCATAAAGCTGCCTCTGTCACGACCATCAGCTGCATCATTATCATCGATTGTCGACGACTCCGGGAATCGGATTCGCATTTGTTGTGATTGTCACAATTATTACGCACATAAATCGCAATGAAACTGGCAACGGGCCAACGACGACGACGACAATCGACAATCAACGATTGGAGATCGTATCTCTCAGATCGCATCAAGCAGATCCCAGATGATGAGTGGAGGCTGTTTGGAGGATCGAAGATCGCGACGATCACGAGTTGGAGAGTCGGGGGGAAAAGGCGTACAAGGACGGCAAATTGAGTAGCTCTCCACTGAGTCCAACTGATCGCAGCTACTGGTTAACCTGACTGATCGGATCTGTTTTGCAGACTTTGGAATGCTATTTTCTATTTAGAATTTAGAGAGAAAAGAGATGATCTTTGAATGCGAGTTTAGCGGGATATTGGTTTCGGAGGGAGTTAGAGATGGGGAGAATGTAATAAATAAAATCGATTTATCGATTTTCTGTATTTCTTATTCAATTTTAAAGCTCTATGGGACTTATTGCAAGATTGTTGTGATTTTTTTGAGTTTGAGAAAGTACGAAATGGTAAATAAATAAATTTATTTAAAGTTATTATCATTTTTTAGTTTTTATTTAACTTGAAAGTTCTATAAAAATTATTTGCAGCATCGTTTATTTTTATTTCTGTTTATGAAAGTTATAAATAATTAACATATGAATTTATTTGTCTGCAAGGAAGTTGGCCTTAAAAAAATGTAAGCACATATTTCGATAATTTATCGATTTGCAAGGGTATTATAATTTCAGTATAGATAAATATATTTGCTCAAAGAATGGCATTTTAATTTCAATCAGAAGCTTGAAATGCAGTAAAGGAGTCATTTTCGACCCTATAAACCATATATATTCTTGATCAGCATTAACAACCGAATCGATCTAGCGATGTCTCGCAAAAATTTATTTTTTGCAAAATTTTCAATTAAATTTATGGGTTAAAATTGTCAAAAAAGTTTACAAAAAATTGAATTTTTAAAATTCTAAAACTGAATATGCAGATTTATTAAGGCTTGAAAAATTAGCACAGAAAAGCTTTCCGAATTGAAATTAAATAATTTTTGGCTGAGCTATGAATATTTCAAGATCAAACTGAAGGGTATATAAGCTTCGTTTTCCTGAAGTTAGCTTCTTTGTTCCTTTTTGTTGTATATACATTTATATAAAGGTTCTGAAAATGTTAATTTCTTCATGTTACAATATGGTTATGTTTTATTTTGTACAATTTTTTTAATTAGATGTACTTAAAATTGATATAATGGGATAATAACTTGTATAGAAATTGACTTGAAGTTATTTTTAAAGGCAATCCCTAACGAATACATGATTATATGGTTCATCCTTACATCTCTTTTATAATTCTACTTCATGTTTTTAATAACTAAACCTTTAATTTTCTTAATGTTTTCTTTATTAAGTTAGCAACTAACTTTAATTGGTTGCACCCACTCTTGTGTTAAGAAACTGTTGACTTCCTTTAGCATGTTTTTGTCTTTAGCCCCCTTAAGAAAAGGTTCTCACGCACCCATCTCGATCTCATCATGAGCAAATCGTTGGGCCTGCCTGCCTTTCCTGACTGCTCGTGGTGCATTTCATTAAGGCTCGTTTCTAACTGCTTAATAAAATTTATTTGTATGCACTGGAACAACGACGAAGACGTCTTCCGTCTGGTCCAGCAGCCGCATTGGCTCCATCTCATCTCTGGGCCTCCCATCTCCAACTCCAACTCCATCTCCTCCTCCATCTCCTGCTCCATCTCCATCTGCAAAAGAGTATCTTCAGCGAGTACAGAGGACAAGCTTAAGCGCTGTTCGTGTTCGCTGTCAACTTGGGTGGTCCAAGAACTTGGCTTTGGCTTTTGGCTGAACAAGAACTTGGCAGTTGCTTTAACCTGTGGATTTAGGAGCTGGGGGAATAGGGATTTGTCAGATCTTCACTGGATCTCAGGTCCCTTCTCTCTTTTTCCTCGTTTATAGATCAAAAGTTGGACAATAATCCTTAAGCCAGGTGACATTACTTCTACTCTTTACCCTTACCTATGGCGCCTTCCACGAACAAGTCTAGAATCTCTCAATTATCTGTAGAGTAACTAAAGCAAACTGATTATATATTTACCCAACACTCGAAGGTTGATGGCTTTGGGCCACTTCTACCTCGAAGCTGAACCAGTTTTGTAGCCTCTTTGTTTTCCCGCTAACACTCCAAAGTTGGCCAAAAACAAAAAACCAAAAAAAAACTCTTTAGAGATGATAATGAAGCAGTAATTCCAATAAGTGTGACTATCCGATTTCTCTGCGGGTTCCAAAATCCCAAGATTGAAGATCCAAGACCCCAACTTCATCTCCCATCTCCCATCATCATTACGAACAAGTAATTAAAGCGAAACAAGTAATAAACAAACAATAAGACGATGTCCAAGACGCCGACGCCAAACATATGTCTGAAATCAAAAAAGAAATATATATAAAGGAAGCATCATCATCAGCGACTCATTCGCCGGCTGGCTGGGCATGCAAAGTATCTCTTTGGGTTTATTTATTTTACGAACAAAAGTGAAACCAAAAGGGAACCCAACTCGCTTCCCAATTAAACTTGACAAATGCGGCTGACCACACACACGCACTTCGATTCCGATTTCTTGGATGTCTGTCGTGACTGAATGACTGACTGACTGACAAAAAATAATCAAAGCAATCCCCAATCCCCAATCCCCAGTCCCCAGTCCCTGCAGACATGTCAGCCTGTATGACATCCACATCAACATCTGAGAGCTGTCAAAGGAAGTCCCCAAAAAGTGATAGTATAACCCAAGGGCTCTCTTCCCCGGATCTTTACTACTCAGATGATCATTAAACTTGGCTTGGGGTGCCAGTTATGTGCTTCAATTAACACCAGAAAGGGTCGGTGGGATGATCAGGGAAGGATTTTCAAAGGAGAGTTCACTCCAAGAGTTTACTGCAATTGGTGAGGTTATACTACTTAAAATCTACAAAATACATATATTTTTAACTAAATATCATCAAGTTTAGAGAAGAAATGAAAGTAAAAATTTATTAATCGATATTATATTGATATTTGCAGCAAAAGGGCGATATATAAATCGATATTTTGTGGTGCTATAAATCCTATTAAGTTATCGAATGAGACAAATTCAATTGAATAATATTATTCCATATTTGTAGATAATATTCATGTGTTAAGGTTCAATGCAATGTTTTTTCATAATTAAATATTTGATATATGAGATCATTCAATCTTTTCGATATCATATTGATGGAAATATTAATTTTTAGATATATTATATGTGGCTTTATCTATATAAAGGATAAGTTTCGTTTAAAAGGGTTTATTCTATTTAAAAAATTATAATTTTGTATATTATATAATTTCAAAAATATATTAATACACAATATACAATATAATACAATATATAATATAATACAATATATAATATAATACGATATATAATATTTTATAATACAATATTTCATATAATATAATATAATTCTGTTTTGGCTAGAAAAAGCAGAAGTTTATATTGAAAATAGAGTAGAGACTGCAATATCTATGGAAAGTTTAAATTTTAAGATTGTTTTCGTTTTAATATATATTTATTTGTACACTATATGCTTAATTATGAACAAATCAATTGTTTTATTTTATTTTTAAACATTTAGCCATTGCGTTTTATGTAACATAATAATTTTTAAAGCCAAATCAAGATATTTATAAATTCTTTCTCTCTTAAACCGAAACCCAACTAGGCATTCCTTTAACAAATGCTTCCTATATTCCTATATAACTTCTCCAATTAAACAATCACTTTAACTGGCAAATAGTGCAATCCATTAAGTGTCAGCTACCGAACTGAAAAATGTATTCAATTAAGCCCCAGTCTCTGTCTCTCTCTCTCTCTGGACCATAAAATCTGATCGCTGCCAACGATCTATTGAAATATTCAAATACATATATCCGAGTAGGCAGTATATGTAGAGGCAAACATGACCACAACTTGAAACGGATTCAAATCGAATTCAAATCGAAACGAATCGGCACGGTTTATAAGCTCATTATTAGTGACAAGAGGGCCGGCTATGAATGTGAGCAATAAATAAGCGATTAAGTAAAGTCAGTTGAAATTCACAACGTCAGGCTTAATTAGATTGTGCTCAGTGTTCAGTTCTCTGTACTCAGTTTGGCATTATCATTATAGATTGTTGCACAGAACACACATTGAGTACACAGAGCCCCTTGCCTGCCTGCAGTCATAATAATGAGGCTTATTGGGATTATTTGTTTATTTCGAATGCATATTTGTGCTGCTCACACGGCTGATTGACTGATTGACTGACTGACTGATTGACTGGCTGAGTAAATGCCAAAAGGTAGATTCCCTTAACCCTCCCACGCTTCTCCATCTCGAGATATATTATTATTATTGTTATTTGCCTGTTGTGATGGAATGAATGAAGTCATTTGCTTGTAGAAAATATTTTGACAGCTGTAAATATCTCCACACCCCGCGAACGTTTTCAAATTAACACAAATGAAGTTATAAAAATGATTTTTATATGCCATGCCCATGTTATTATACAACAATCCCAAAAACCAAAATCAAAGCCCCACCAAATGCGGAAACTTGTCTTTCGTTTCATTTTCAATTCAATTCAACAGCATTTTTGTCGGATCTCTTGGCTTGGCTTGGCTTGGATTTTATTTTCTGCTTTTTTGGCTTTTGCTTTTGCTTTTGCTTTTTTCGAGACCCGCTTGGGTGGTCTTTTTGGGCCTAAAGCTCGCCTTGTCTCTCGATCGAGTCTTGATTGTTGTGATCTTGAGGTTTCTGTTACATACCTAAAAATTGAAATTTTTGAATTTTTAATATTTCTTCTCTTTTGTCTTCTCGGATTTGTTATTGTTGCTGGTCGGTGGTGGGGTCTCAAGCTCAAATGATAGATAAGCAGGTCGCAAGTATATTGAGTGTGAAATTGGGCGAACCTCAGATGCTTTTGGGGGAGAGCTAAAGACAGAGGTAATACCCTTGGTGATGATAATATTACTAGTATGATTTTTTTCTGAGTTGCTTAGAAAATTTTTACAAGAGTAAAGACTGCACATAAAGTAATACGAGCTTTTTACCTATATTAATAGATTTAAAATCAATATTTTTGTATACAAATATTGATTAATTTAATATTTAGTAATAATATTTAAATTTATTTTAAAAATGTTTGGGGTAGTATGTTTATACTTTTACAGGGTATTATAATTTCAGTCAGAAGCATATATATTTGTGAAGGAACCATTTCCGACCCTATAAATCATATATATTCCTGATCAGCATTAACAGCCGCATCGATCTAGCTATGCCCGGTCAAAATAATTTTTTCAAATTTTTTTTCAAAATTTTCATCGATAAAGTTGTCAAAAAATGCATAAAAAAATTTAATTTTTTTACATTTTAAATTGAGTATGCAGATTTATTAACCTTTTAAAAAATAACATTGGACAGTTTTCCGAATTGAAATTAATGTATGATTGGCCTAGTTATGAAGGTTTGCATGATCATACTGTAAGAGCATTAAAACTTCGGCTTTCCTGAAGTTAGTTTCTAATTTTCTTCTTATTCCAAGTGTATTATAATAAGAAGTCTACCAGGAATAATTGTAACTTAAAAGCAGTTCTAATTTAGTTTTATATTAGAATTCCCAACTGGATTTAGATGCAAACTGAAGAATATTTTAGGCACCTTAATCAAAAATAACCTTATAAACTAGAACTTGGAGTTTGGTTTAAAGGAGTTTTCCAGAACTTTTATAATTCCTTTAAAAATAAATGCAAATTCCTACAAAAAACCGTAACTTCTATACATTCCACTTATTTTAATAAAATATTTTATTTAAATTATTCATTTTATTTAAATCCATTTAAAATTAATTTAATCTTTACTTTATATACTTTATACCTTATATACTTTACATTTTCATACCTTTTTAAACTCCTTTTCCCACTCAATTGCCTTTTTCCAAATCTATCCCATTTGTTTATCTTACTCTACATACTCTATGTTAGAGTATTCAGGGGAAACAATTACAAAATGCCTTGGCCAATGCCCAATTTCAGGCCATATTAACTGTTTGGAGGCATGGAAAATGCAACTATCCGCATCAGCAGCAGCAGTTTTCAGTTCACATTAACCAAATGCGGTCAGCAGTCGCAGTCACAGTTTAAACGACATTTTTCGCTGTTATCGTTGCCGCGGAGGGAACTGTTAGAGGGGCCTCTTTGCTGAGTCTGACAGTTTTATTACCAAGGCGCATGGCTGCTGCTGTTGCTGTTGTTGCAGCTTTTTCCAGTTGCGGCAGTTGCAGTTGCCAAAGCCTAAAAAGGCACTACAAGTTGCTGTTGTTGTTGCTGCTGTTGCTGATGTTGCTGTTACAGTTGTTGCTGCCCCTGCTGCTGCTGCTGCTTTTGTTGTGTGTCTCTTGTTGGTTGTGCGATAAGTTTAACAGTTGAAATTAATTTTTGTCACTTCATAAATCGCCGCAGCTGATTGCCATTGCCTTTTCCTAACCAAAGCACTCTTTAGTGCACTGAAGGAAAAAAAGTGTTAAAGAAATTCGGAAATTCGAGACTTGGATACACTGATTAAAAAGAGATGAAGTATCAAGAATATTTATAATACAACTCTTTGTTCTTGCTGAAATTCAAAGATACAAATTTAATTTCATTTATTTATTTAATTCTCTTTTATTATATCACTAGTACCTGCTTTTAAACAATATATGTGGCCATTAGGACGTGGAACTTAATTATACCCTTTTAGGGTATTCTAAATTCAGTCAGACTCTTAAAACTTTGTGAAGGAATCATTTCCGACCCCATAAATCATATATATTCTTAATCAGCATCAACAGCCGAGTCAATCTAGTTATGTCCGATAAAATTTTAATTTTTTTTTAAATTTTAATATTATTTTAAGGGGTTACATAGTTAACATTATCAAAAATTTTGAAAAAAAAAAAAAAAATTATGTCTTTAATTGAGTATGCAGATTTGTTAACCTAAGAAAAAGTAACATTGGACAGCTTACCGAATTGAAATTAATGCATTTTTGGCTTAGTTATTAAATTTGTAAACTTTGATTTGTCGAAAAAATTGACATATAAATATATCGATAAATATCGATTCAAAGAATGTGAATATTTTAAACTAAATAGGAACTCCTGGTGATGATTTTTTTCATAATTTATATAGTTAACGCTTTCTTTTATCTGTCAAATACATATGACACTACGTAATCCTATACCTCCTTTTGAAGAAGAATTTCTTTGAATTCTTTAAACCTTATGTATTTTTTCTTTGCATCGAACTTGCTTTTAACCCACAAAATCCCACTCTAACTGAGTTCAAGAATTGATAAAATAAGAGAGCCCTTAAAGTACACTCATTTAATAGTTTTTCTATCCCAAACCTATCTCAAACCACTTACATGGCCAAGGAGAAGCTTTCCCAAAGGTGTTCTTTCGTTCGGCGGAAAAGCCAAGTCTCCTCGCCCGGTAAGTACTATTTTCCTCAATGGCTCAATTTGAGCGGTTAGAAGGGAATGGGGTGGAAATAGAGGCCTCCTTGGGGGGCAGGAACTCTACCACTAGGTTTTCCCCACTCTGGATATCGTGATTATCATATGACGTGACAGCCTCGCATATTTATGAATGCATTTGGGTCATAAACAACGTGAAATGGTATGGTTCTGGGTTCCTGGGTTCTTGATTCTTGGTTCTTGGTGTTGTTCTTTTGCGAAAGGCAAATTGCGCACTTAAGCCGTAAAAATCGTTTCGGGGGGTAAGAAAGATTTCGTGTTCCAATCATTGATTGAGTTCTTTTGATGGTTGCCAATAATAATTGCGCAGAATATGCGCACCTTTTCAACTGTGTGTGTTCCAAATGCATAAATTATAATATATTTCTAAGATATATTCTATGGTTCTAAATAATAGGCACTGTAACTTATCTCTTTATTAAGATTTAATTGAATGTTGTCTGTACGACACTTAAAAATAATTATAATTGTTACTAAAAGGTGGTTATTATCACCTCTTTTAAATAGCTCAAAACCATTCATAATTTTCCTATTATCAATGAGCTTTGTGACCTGGTTTTTCCTCCTTCTTCTTCAAGTTTTTAATGCAATTTCCTTGGTAATTTTTTTCCACATTTAGAACATGCAAACAGTCAGAAGGCTAGAAACTTTTCCAGCAATTTTCCACTACCTCAAAGAGACAGAGAGAGAGAGAGATGAGAAAATCGGAGGAACGGTAATTGCAGGCCGGTGTAATTGGAAATTCGTTTGTTTATGTTGTCATTGTTGTTGTTTTGGCCCACCGCCGCCACCGCGTCTTGTGAGCAAATTGAAAATTACTTAATGGTTCAGTGGCGATCGCTGTCGCTCCCGTTTTTCCTTGGGTTTTTCCCTCACCCCTCTGGGGTTTTTCCCGCTTTTCCCCGCTTGTCGCTTGTCTGCTGGCTACTGGTTAAATGAGCTCAAAGTGCCGGACAAATGCGAAAATTGCTTTCCATGGAGGTCGGAAAAAATGGGGGGATGTTAATTTGTTTATCTTTTACTTGGATTTCTTAGAGATTAAAGGGATTTCTTGGGGATAAAAAGAGCTGGTTAGAGGATAAATTGCATTAAAAGCTGGTTTATAATTGTTAAATTAAATATTTCTGATGCCTAGGCATTTTTTACCTTAAACTGTACTCCGTCAAGGCAAGTTTTTGCCTTTAATTATACTCTTCTTAAGGAGTTTTTATTAAATACAAATAATTATATATTACAGAAGCTGGCATATCATTATTTAATCAATTTTCAGACATATTTGTAATGCCTTATTATTTTTTTTACTGCCATTTAAACTCTGCAAAGGCAGGCTTTAAACTTTAATTATATATTGTAGGGGGTTTACTTGTATGTTTTTTTGTTGTATAAAGAAGAAGCTTATATAATTATTTCATCAATTTTTTTAAAGTATTTATGACAGTTTTTTATATTTTACTTTAATGTAAAACCAAGAAGGGTAAACTTACATTTATAATTGGAGGTTTTTTCTGTTGAAACATATGATACTTGAAGTGTAATTTAATACTTTTTGTTTGGTTGTGGTTTCAACCTTTTTTTGAAGACAAATTTAATAAGATAATAAGGAGCTTTTAGTAGTTTTTTTACTGAGAAACTCTATGAACTTTATAATAGAGCTTAATAAATAAATAAAAGATAAATAAAAGACTTTAATAACTAATTTTGCAGTTTAAAATATGCACATTTTTATAACTTCTATACAAAACACACCTCTAAAATCTTTTCATCTTAAATCCTTCAGTTTACCATCTCTGTAACCCCCTCTTTCATATTAAAAACTCATAATTGAATTGACTGAAATCATTTCTGATTAATCCTTAACCATTAATAAAATCAATACAGATTCCATAATTGCTAGATAAAAGCCCAAGTCTAAGCCTAAGCCTGTATTTGCCACACCTTTCTTGCCGCTCAATAAACCCATAAAATATGGCCTGGCAATTTCCAAGATTAAACGTAGTCTTGTATCGATTATCGTTGGCTTTATTATAATGCCATTAATTCCAAAATAGTCGACTGTCTCTGCCATATGTTTGCCATATATCATGCCTCAGGAGACACCACAAAATGTGCCATTTTTAATGCAATTAACTAATTTGTAGTACGTTTTTGGCAACTGTTTTTAATCTCGCCCACATACAAACAAACACGCGCAAAATATGTTGCATTAATTTGTCAAATTAACACCTTTTGTTGTTGGATTATAAAATATACTTTTAATATTTTAACCCCCCACCCGAAGGGGGAGGCAATTTTTCAAAAGCAACAAATTTATGGCCATTTTATATTTAGCCGATTTTGTTGTGTGCTGTGCAAATCTCACGCTAAATCATTGTTACCCACAGCTGCACTCGGAAAGCGTTTTCAAATTCGGAGTTTTGGAGCAACAACGCCATCGCCTACAACATTCATTCAAATTATGGAACCGCAGCAGTGCGATCGAGATCTCGTTTTAGTCACGCTAAATTTATACAACAACAAAAAATAAGGTAACAAAAAATACAAAAAAGAGAACTTGAGACAGAGAAAACTGAAGAAAAACACACCTTAAAAAAGGCCTCGGTGAAAAATCGTTTCAAGTTAATTAGTGAGCGCGACAAAAAAAAAGGCCAAAACCCACCCAAAAAGCGTAGATTTATGTACTCTGGAATTTATTTCAATTTCTTTCAGAAAATAATAATTATGGGTCTGACTTTTATCAGGAGTAATGAGAAAATTTGCCAGGGTATTACATGTATTTAGGTTTATTTTTGGGGCAAAAGTTGTAACTAGGTAATAACAAAGTGGAAATAATAAGAGGAAAAAACGTGTAGATAATTGATTAAAAACTGTCTTCTTAGATTAAATGACAAAAGCTATATAATCTAGAAAATTACCTTTAAACGACTCTAAATAAAGCAATTATATTTAAGTCATTAAAGATGAACACTGAGAGGTCTCTATAATGATATAATCTTTGAATAATTTTATTGTTAGGTAAGTGAATCTAATAAGGTAATGGTTAATGCATTTACCTTTACCTATTTAAGCTGTAATTATTCATTTTTAAAGTTAGTTTATGTTATTCACAGTTAATAAACTCAATAAAGCACATCAAAACACCTTTTCAGTGGTTAAATCTCTTTGAATTTACTCCTGGATTTAGCAGAGATTCCACAGGATTAAGCAAACTATCAGGGAATCTGTAATAGCTTGTTCAAACAGCAAATAAATGTACACCCCGTATATATGTATATGGAGTAACACCCATTCTTGGGTTTTTCATGGGGACTTCATCCCCATATAAAATTATTAGGCAAACGATTACGAATTCCATGCGGTTGGCATAAACTAAATTCATGAGTGTGTCATGATTGTGCCGGGGGAGGTTTTCCTCTTTTTGGTTGTTTTTGGGGTGGCTTTTCACACAAGGACTGATGGTGGTGGTGGTGGCATAATGAGCTTAAGTTATGTTACATAAGCCATAAGGACATGAAAACCACTCGAGCAGACACTTTACAATTTCAGGGGGGGTGAGTGAGTAAGTGCTCCTCTGGGTTCCTCTCATTCCTCGCTTTTTTCGGTGGTTGCCAAACTAATGAGCTGTGGGTTCCTCTGTGGCTGTGGCTTGTTTGCACAACCGCTTCATGAGCCACCACCACCACCAACACCACCAGCAACAGAGCACCGCCACTCAACAGCTCGTCTCCTCGAGTGTGTTTGACTTGGAGAACAGCCAGTAAGTGAGTGAAGTGAGTAAGTGAGTGAGTGAGTGAATGAATGAGTGGAGGAGTCACAGGAGCCCGAGTGAGTGTGGCCAGCAAGTCTAGGAAATAAAGATGGTTTTGTTACTGGGAGTCAAGTCCTTAAAGGTTTATTTAAAATAGAGATTACTTTCCTTAATCCTTGAAGATTTCCTTAAATTTAATTTTCCAAAATCAAAATGTTTTATATTTCAGAATATTAGAAGTTCTTGAATTCTTTCTCTAAAGCATAGTTTGCATAGATATTATATAATGACCTTTTCCATTTAAGAAACTATATAACCCCGTTCTAAAAACAATATTACTCATTATTTTAAACAAAATATTTCCAATATCTTCAACGTATTAACGAATTTTTAATGAAACCACAAGATGTTATTTAGATTTTCCTGAAATTATGATCTTAACCTATACTTTTATGATCATATACACCTTCATAGTATACTTAAATACCTTTACCAAGCTTTTCGGAATTTTTCTTTAATTTCTGGAAAACAAGAATTAAACTCTTTTGCGAATTCCAATTCCCAATTAATAATTTTCACCAACATGTTCCTTAGGCTGCCTTAAAAAACACCAATGTTGTAATCTTTACAAATTTCATTGGTGTTTTGAAGGTTTCTCACTTTGTAGGCTAAGCAAAGTGATCAAATATTATACAAAACTATCATAATATTCACTTTAAGCTTTAAACCAATTATATAAATATTTTAAAACCTTTAAATAAATAAATTTCCTTATAATAGAATACAAAACTCACCTGAACTGGGGCGATCACTGTATCGGGTGCAGTAGACCCACGCTGGCCAAACAATGGGCGTTCCTGAATCCTCGCTGGATTTACTCCCACCACCGCCAGATGTAGCTCCTCCATTTCCTGCTCCTCCTCCTCCCGCTGGAGGTGGTGACTTGACCAGATCCACCGGGGCCACAGTGGTGTTGGTGGTGCTGCTGCTAGTGGCTGTGCTGTTGGAATCATTGCTATTGCTGCAGATATTGGCCAGGGAGCTGGAGAAGCTTAGGCTAGGATTTACGGCATTACTCTGAGCCAGGTTCAAGGGCTTTCCGGCACCTTTTTTGGGCACTTTCAGGGGACTCCTGCTGCCATTGGTTCCACTCGGGTTCTTAGCACTTCCCATAGGATTCCCTGCTGCACTATTTCCACCCAATCCCACAATTTTGGGTAATCTAGAGCCAAAGTCCGCCTTTAGGATGTTGTCTATGCTGAATTTCAAGGCTCTCTCGTGCAGATTCTCATTGTTATTGTGATGATTCTGCAGGTGATGATGATGATGATGATGATGCACCTGATCCCGCTGCAGTAGCAACTGTTGATGCGGTGCCTGTCCCAATCCCAGAGCTGTGGCCGTCAGCTGAGCCAGTGCATCCTGGCCGGAGGGCGCTGTTACCGCTGCCGCTGCAGCTGCCATGGCGGCCATTTGCAGCTGTTTACCCGCCGCTGCCGCTGTGAGAGCATTAACCCGGGCGGCGGCCATTAGATGCATCTGCTGCTTCATTAGCTCCTCGGCATACAGCTGGGATTTGCGCAGGAACTCCTCCTGAAAGGTGGAACCAACGCCGCCGCCGCCGCCTCCTCCTCCGATGACTGTGTTGGTATTGGAGGGCAGCAGCTCATCGGGCAGCGAGGAGAGTTGCAAGGCATCCACCGCCGGCGGTGTTATGACCGTGGTCGCACTACTAAAGGCCGACGGTCTGTAGATCTGGCTAATGAGGAGCCGCTGCCTGGCCTGGACCTGTGCCTGAGCCTGAGCCTGAGCTTGTGCCTGGGCCTGGACCTGGGCCTGGGCGGCGGCCTGTGACTGCTCCTGGCCAACGCTTAGCACACTGGTCTCACTGCAGCAGCTGGTTGGATCCTCCAGATCGAGATCCTGGTCCGCCTCCTCCTCCTCCCCATCTTCATCCTCAATGTTGAGCTGCTCCTCACACTCCTCGGCCGGATCGCAGTCATCTTCTCGCACCTGCGGTGAGTTACCGCCTCCATGCTGGGCCAGCGGCAGGGGCAGGCAGTCCGGATGCATGGCGGGGGCCACTTCCGTGCTGCTCCTGCTGCCGCTCCTTCTCCGTTCCTCCTCCGACTCCTCGTCCTGATCCTGATCCAGCAGGGAGGGAATGGTCAGCTTAAGCGGCTGCGGTCGGCTGCTGGCCAAGGTGGACATCAGTTTTCACAAAACACACACGAGAATTTTCAGCTCAAAAGTTCCGACGGCATTTTCGATTGGCATGCAGGGGCATCGGAAAAAATTACTTGAAAAAACTTAGTAAAACACTTGAATATCGCTTTCAGTGCCGATAAACAATTGCGATTGATAGAAAATGTTTCGATTTTATCGATAAACACGATACGCACACGCCCGTTACTGCAACGCGCTGTTACTGTTACCTCTACGCTGTTGCTCTTACGACCGACGACCAACTGATTCTCTTTGCGAACTGAAACCGCCAAGTGAGACGGCTGCAGCTAAGAGAGAGCCAGAGCCGCATACACACACATACACGCTCTCTTAGTCTCTGTCTCGCTCTCGGGTTTTTTTCGAACATCCAATGAGCGTGTTGCCTGGAACTATGCTGTTGTCCCTGTTGCACCCATGGCCCCCCGGCACTGTCAGTTGAGGTTATGTTAAGTGTTTGTATATTTGTTAATTAAGTGCGTCGTCGCCCCACCAAAAAAAAAAGAAGACAAAATAAAAGAGGACCAAGGAAAATGAGAAGGAAACGAACTCCACTCCATTTCCATTTGCGCCTTGTCGTTTTGATTATGCGCTGCAGCATTTAAGTCGTAAATCTCACTCTATGTAGGCTCTCCCTCCTTTGCGGTCTGGCATCTGCAGTCCTTTTCACTGGCATCCTCCATCCCGCTTTATATACCCAACCCTGTGTGTGTGTGTGTGTGTGCGCGCGTTTATGTACAACACATGCCACACAGCATCCTTTACTCCTGCGATTCGTTTTTGCCAATTCTCTTGCTTGTTTTTTTTGTTGTGTTTTTTGCCCTGATACAAGCGAAAATTTTTGCGCTTTTTGATGTCATTGTTGTTGTTAGCTGCGCTTTATAAATCACCACCACAATTTTTGTTGCTCCAACATCTGCCGTGATTTCATAATTGCTTTTGATGCTTTTTTTTGCGTTTGCTTTATTGTTTGTTTGTCGCTCTCTGCCAGCTTCACACATCCCATCGGGCGACAGGCGGACACACAGCATTGATGATAGTTCTGCGTAAATGAATATGAGTGTGTGCGAGTGTGTGTGATTGCATATGTTTAGGGATGCAGGGACGTGGATTAAAAGGGGGATTTTTCATTTGGAGAGTTTCATTAACTTCCAAGACACTTTCTGGAAGCTAGGGGAGAGTTTGAGCTTGGAAATTGGAAGTATATCTTAATTTGTTGTATTATTTTAATTTAAAGTTGAAAATATATAAAGTAAATAAGTTAAAAATATGATCTATTATATTTAGTTAAGAATTAAATGTTTAAACTCTCCACTTAAGTAAACAAATCGTTAAAAAACACTCCCTTTTGTTGTGCAGAGGTAAGGGTACAATATAATTTAAGAATTTACTTTATAAATAAATAAATAACTCTACTATCCAACCCCCTTTTAATGTGCACCCCTGTTTTCCTGACCGAGTGACATGCTTATGTTTTGGGCTTGTCTAATTGGCCAACATATTGCATTGTTGCAATGCTTTGTGTGCTCATAAATCTGTATTTAGCTTTCCTTTCAAGTATTTGTGACACATTTTTTTATTCGTTTGCGATGAAAACGGGTTTATGGCATTGCTTAAAGTGAGGTTATGACCGGGAATGTTGATCAAAGTGATCTTTTTTTAATTAAATCAGAAAAACTTAGCTGGGCATGCATTCATTTGCATTATCTTTCGTTATATCGGGAGAGTGTGTGCTTAATGGATCATATTTCATATCTAAAATCGACCATCAATGTTGCACCTTTTCCCCTGATATCGACCATAAAATATCGGAATTCCAGTGATCTTTTATCGCTGCTGTTGAACCCATAAAGCCGCAGATTATGGAAGTTGTTTTATTTTTTTTCGGCTTGGGCCTGTCCACGCTTTATTATCGCCTCGGATCGGACCACGCCCCGCCCCGGACTGCAGGCCAATCCAAGCTCAAGCCCAAAAAGCCAGTTTAATAACTTTGTTGCTGCATTACAAAGCGGCGAGTGCCAAGATGCCGCCCCAGAGATAACACTCAAGTATAATAACCCCACACTACGGACCCAACGAATTAATCAGGCTTAATTTCCAGCCCTCCCAACAAAAGAAACAATTATACACGAGCGATTAGGGTGGAGAAATAAGAAAGAGAAAACGTGGAGAATAGTTAACAGGAAAAAGAAGTTACAGTTGGACTTCTATAAGAGTTTCTATCTATCATTCTACAAAGTGACTTTAACTATCAGCTTAAGAGATGTAACTTGTGAAAGTTCGAGAAACATTAGGAATTAGGATTAGGATTACCTTTATCTCTGTTTGAAAATCAGCATAAAAAGTTTACTGAAAAAGGTTTTAAAAAATATTATTTGGTCCTTTTATTAGCATTAAATAATGATAATGATAATTCAATGACTCTTAACTATAAATTTATATAATAAATTTGTACTGGTAATTATAATAATGAACAATCAATGCAAAATAATTAACATAAAATACTATTTTATAGATTTTGCTTAGAGTACTCATTATTATAAAAAGATTTATTACCATCTTTAAATGAAATATTAAAGTTTCGAGATAAAACTCTGCAACATATCAAAATGACATAAAAATAAGAAAGTTCATTTCATAATCTCTGATCATTATATGAATGAAATAATCTTAAATATAAACCATATAAACCATTATAATTTTACCATTAAAAAGATAACAATCAGTAACCTTTTATCTAAACTATAATGCCCCAAAACTAATGATAAACCCCCCGAAAAATGTAACATGCTCCGTATCCTTCGTTTAAATTACGGATGTTCGACTGTAAAAATTAAATGGCCGTAACCAGAGACCACGAATTATGAATAAAATTAAATGCAATTGCTCAAAATGTCTGGCAAAAAAATAAAAAACGAACTGATTTAATCCCCTTTTTTTGCTCCTGCTTCTTCTTCTTCGTCATCGTCATCGTCATCGTCTTTTTCCCCCAAATAGCCTTCTTCCGCAGATTCCGAGCCAAAGAGGAGACATGATTAAAGCCGCGCACGAAACGCTTTTCACATAAAAGACGCCGCGGAGCGTAAGGCGATCTCTCGCTAGTTAATCGCGCAGAAAATCTTCATCAGAAATGGACGGCAAGCGAAAAGTCAGCAACAACAACAACAACAACAACATAAAGACAGCGACGCAGTAAAGTTACTCAAACTAAAATAAATACAATCAAAACATGAAGCCTACAACGCAAGCAATAAGTAACAACGACAACGACAAAAGAGCAAAGCGCGCCGGCAAAACATTACAAGGCCCTCTCTTTGTCTCTCTCTCTCTCTTTCTCGCTCTGTAGCTCTTTGCCTTGGCAGCATCTCAGCTTCCAGCAACAACAAATAGCATAATCGAGGCAACTCCAACGCCGCCCTCCTGCCCCCCAACCCCCTTAGAGCTGCCCCACTGGGCACACAATTTAGATGCGCGGCAATAGATAAACTTAAAGAGGCTTTTATTTAAACAAAGCGCAGCAGCCAGCAGCAGCAGCCAGCAGCAGCAGCAGCGTAAGAAGAAACGCCAATGAAGCTGCTCACTCAGGCAGAGACAGAGACAGAGACAGAGATTTCAACTGTCAAAAAAGGAGCGGATTCTAAGAGAGTGAGGGTAAAAGGGAAGCTTATAAAATAAGAATTTTATAAATTAAATAAATTATAAATTAAATTAAATTAAATTAAATTATAAATTAAATAATTTTAAAAATTAATTAAATTAATGAGTTCAAATAACTCTGTTCTCCGTATAAACAGAAAATTATGCATTTTAAAAAAGACAATATTGCGTATACGTAATACGTATACGTGATATATTCCTCGTATACGTATACGTATACGCAATAAGAGTGCTATCCTTTTCATCCTTAAGTCCATCCCTGTCTCCGTGTGCAGTAGCTTACAGTAAAGCTTCAGCAGGAGAAGAGAGTGGGGGAAAAAATCAGAGTTGAAGCCTGATGTTTTCAGGCTCTCCCTGCTGCTCTAGTGCTGCTGTCGGGCAAAGCGCAAAAATGTATGTAGCTTACAAACGAGCAACATCGAAAGAAGAAGAAGAACGGAAACAGAAACAGAATCGGAGCTTAGGGATTGGTGCTCTCTTTCTCACCCACTAACAGGATGGAAGGCTTCTCGTTAGCTTTGCTTAAGCCGCTCTCTCATTGTCAATCTTATTGGACCGGCAGTGCTGCGGGTTAAGCTTTTTTTCTGCCATCAAATCCAGGATCAATTACACTCTACAAAATGTTAGCAATGCCTCTCTAGCTATTGTTTCTACCAATCTGATTCATTTCCAATTATTCAATCAGAGCTGGATTAGTTGATTGCCAGCACTGTTAGCCTGGCTTATTGTCCCTGCTTTTTTTGTCCACGTTGCTTTTTTGCTGCTTTTCGAGCTGATCTTTTAATCGAATCGCAGCATTTATTATGTCGCGACTTGGGGATTGGATGTGGATTGTTGTTTGGACCGTAATTGTTGTGATTTTGCGGCCAGTTTGTCTAATGTCGTTGAGCAAACAATGGACATGGCCTGTCTGTGTCATAAGTTAACCAAAAAAACTACACATAAAGCGAAACAAATGGACGACATTTGTTGCGCAAATTAATAATTTGCTATTCATTTGATTTTGCTTTCGCAATCTGGCTCTTGACGTGTTTGCATTTGTTTTGATTTCATGTGATTGGTTTTGATTCGATTTGATTTCTTGTCTCAATTGGAATTTGCATAATTTATTCGTGTTTGCGAGCGTGCTGCTCTAATTGCAATTAACACGTGATGACAGCGCTAATCATCATCATCATCGCAGTCGAAACTCTCCCCACTTCCACTTCCCATTCCACACTCACCCCTTCCATTATACAATTTCTCCCATTCCCCAAGTTCGTTCCACTTGTCGACAGTTTGGAGAGAAAAATCAATAACAGGCATGTGGAAATTGTATTTAATTGACAGTTAAATGGTTTTCAACTCGCCATGGAAATCGATTGGGTTTGGCCCCGCAGATGGGCCATTTTGGGGGTTGTCGACGGCGGGTTAAGAGTGAGGGGGCTTTTTTGTTCCAAGGGGCGGGGGCTGCGTAACAGCCAATTAGCAGAGGAAAAGTTTTCGAGGAAAATTAATAAGCAGCAGGGAAAAAGCGAGTACTTGTCAAAGGGAA